TCCAATTGTGCATCTGAATGAACAAACAGTAAAGGGGTACCAAGGCCTTGTAGGACAGGAGATGATTTCATCGAGTGCCACTGGAAGAGTATTTTCAGGCTCTTGCCCACAGCCCAGTCTTTGCAATGATGCTAATGGAGAACTAATGTTGTCCACACCGGATAATGCATTTGCTCAGAGGAAATGCTTTACTAGACACTGGTTGACTGAAGATGTTGATGCAGCACTAGAGGTTGGTTTTACGAAGTGCTTAAATATTTATTTACTTTGAGATGTGGAAAGCAGAAAATAAATTATTTACTTAAAAGAGTTGATGACATTTTTTTTAATGCAGAGAGGTGATGTATTCAAAGCATTATTTCGTGTAAATGCTCACAATAAACTTGAGGTATATTATATAGCAGTGCCTTTGTTTTGTTTTGTTTTGTTTTTTCCCCTTCTTTCTATGGCTGTTATGTATAACATTGTCACATAATGTCCTTTACTTAGGCATACTGCAAAATTGATGGTGTGCAAACAGATGTTCTTATCAGTGGAGCTGCTGCTCAAAATAGAGCCGTAAGTGGACTTTTCTCCTTTTTCATAGATCACTTTGTTTGGCTGATGTTGGTTTTCACTTTGGTACTGTGCACTACATATTTCAGCGGTTCAGTCTTGTGCATATTCTATTTGAATGTTTTTGTAGGTTGAAGGAGATATAGTTGCAATTGAAGTTGATCCTCCATCGCTTTGGATTAAAATGAAAGGCTTCTCTAGCGGGACAGTGGAAGATTCTGCTTCTGCAGATGGAGTTATTTTGGAGTCTGAGACTTCTGAAACTTTCATAGAGAATGCCAAAGGGAAAATGAAGGTTGATTCTGATTATGGGTACATCACTAGTCAGAATCAAGATCCCTCTTTAGAAAATAGAGGCTGTTGCAAAAATGACAATTATAAGGGTGAAACTCTTTATCCTGAAAAGATAGGACAAATAAATAATGTTAATGCTAATGGACATTGTTTCTCAATGCCGGATCCCATAGAAGTTGGTTGTGTAAATGGGAAGGGAGAGTTTCTGACTGCAGCAGAGAAGCTATCCATAACTGTGAATTCGTTTCCATCTAAACGGCCAACAGGTAGGGTTGTGGCCATTCATGAAGCTTCTCCTCGCAGGGACAAAATTGTTGGTTTTCTTAGTATTAAGAAGTGGATGCGGAATAGAGAAATCAACAAAAAGGACTCAAAGAACAAACATTCATCTTCTGTTTTAAATTATGAATATCTCCTGTTAACGCCAACTGATCCAAGATTTTCAAAAATGATGGTTCCTGTAAAAAGCCTGCCAGACATTATCAAGAAAAGGCTTCTAGCTGGTGATGCAACTGTTGGCACAGACCTTGTAGGTGCAAGAATTGTTGACTGGGGTGAAGAAAGCTGTATTCCAGAAGCTCAAATAATTTATGCTTTTGGAAGAGGTGGAAAAATAGAGACACATATTGCGGCAATTTTGTTTGAAAATGCTGTTGATGTTTCTGAATTTTCTCCAGAAACCTTGTCATGCCTTCCAAATATTTCTTGGGAGGTTCCAAGAGAGGAGTTTGAGAGAAGACACGACATCAGAAATTTGTGCGTCTTTACTATTGACCCTGATACTGCTACTGATCTTGATGATGCCCTTTCTGTTGAGAGCTTGCCTGATGGCACTTTTAGAGTTGGTGTCCACATAGCCGATGCCTCATACTTTGTTCTGCCAGATACACCCTTAGATACCATTGCCCAGATACGATCAACAAGTGTGTATTTACTGCAGAGTAAATTGCCAATGCTGCCACCGTTGCTCTCTGAGAATCTTGGATCACTTAACCCTGGAGTGGACAGACTAGCTTTTTCAATATTTTGGGACATCAATCCTGCTGGGGAAGTTCTTGACCGCTGGATTGGTCGCACTATAATTCGATCTTGCTGCAAGCTTTCGTATGAGCATGCTCAAGATATAATTAATGATAAATTTGATGTTCCAACTGCTGATGTTGCAAAGAAGTCATCATGGCCGCAGTTATATGGCCATTTTGATTGGACTGATGTTATCAAATCTGTGAAAATCCTTTATGAAAATTCGAAGACCTTGAGGAAGAACAGGTTTAGTGATGGTGCTCTGTCACTTAATAGTCCTAAGATAGCTTTCCTATTTGATGAAGATGGGGTTCCCTATGATAGTCTGTTCTATCAACAGAAAGATTCACACTTGTTGATTGAGGAGTTTATGCTTCTTGCAAACAGGACAGTAGCAGAAGTAATAACTAGAGCTTATCCTTCTAGTGCTCTATTGCGTAATCATCCTGAGCCCAACATACGCAAACTCAGGGAATTTCAGGCCTTCTGTAAAAAGCATGGTTTGAAGTTGGATTCTTCTTCCTCTGGCCAATTTAACCATTCATTGGAGCTTATTAGGCAAGAACTGAAGAATGATTCTGTGTTGTTTGACATCCTTATGTCTTATGCTACAAGACCCATGCAGTTAGCCACGTACTTCTGTAGTGGAGATGTAAATGATACTGAATGGGGACATTATGCTCTTGCTATTCCCCTTTACACACACTTCACATCTCCGTTACGTCGATATCCTGATATTGTAGTACATCGAACTTTGGCTGCGGCTATAGAAGCTGAGGAGATGTATATTAAGTGCAAAGCGTCATTCCAAAATGGGGATAATCTTGCAAACAGCAGGTGCTTTACTGGCACAGCTGTAGATGGGGATGCTATAGAATCATCTGAAGCTAGGGAGTTACTGTCTGCTGCAGCATTGAGGCACAAGGTTCCATGCACAGAAACACTTGTAGATGTTGTTGCACATTGCAATGAAAGGAAGCTGGCCAGCAGGCATGTGAAGGATTCTACTGAAAAACTCTACACATGGGCTTTATTGAAAAGGAATGAGGTATGTTACCATGCTCTCTTCCCTTGAGGTCTCCTTACTATAGTCTTCAGACTATTAATGCATCATTCGATACAACACACAAACAGGATGCTGTACTGCTATTGGTTTTGATACTATACCTATCCTGCATCCTTTTTGGTGGAAATCATGCTATGTATATACTAAATGATATTTTGTAGCACATGTATCTTCTGGACATAACAACACTTCAAAACATAATTTAATTTGATTCTAACATTGATATAGTGGTTTCCAAAGTGCCATAAAGTCCATTACAAGAGAGCAAAAAGCTTTGCATTTCTTTCTGTTACTCTCAACATATCTAATACTCTTCTCTATTGCTCTTGTCCATGTTTTATAGTTTAATAAATTCAATTTGAAAGTAGAGTAGAAATCCTACTTGAAAGGAGTTGGGTTATCTATTTTCCCTAGTAACTGCCCTGCTTTGATTATTTACTCTGCTTTTATGTAGTTATTTTTCTCGGAAGCCAGAGTTCTTGGTTTGGGGCCAAGGTTCATGTCAATATATATAAATAGGTTTGCTGTAAGTTTTCTTCCTTAAAATCTGTTTTTTTTTTCCCCTCTATAATTGAACAATCCCTACAGTTCCACTGTGTGGTTACCAATATTCATTCTATGTGAAGATGAAATGTTGTGTCTGGTTTCAAACATTTTCAGATTGAACGGCGAATCTATTATGATGAAATTGATGGTCTCTCAGTTGAATGGCTTGATACTTCATCCACCCTGGTGTTGAGTATGTGTACAAGTAAGCACTTAAACCGGAGGGGTAGCCCAGGAAAGTGTAGGACCCTTGAAGATGTTGCATTCATAGTTAGTCCATGTGACTTGAATTTGGATGATGAAGAAGACATCAGCAAATTAGCCATCACAGATGATGATGATGATGATCCAGGATCTGGTGGTATCACCAATGTCTCTAACCTTGAACCTGCTGTTTTCCCTCTCACTGTACAACCGCTTTCAACAATTCCCGTTGTTCTTCATGCGGTTGGTGGAGAGGACGGGCCCATTGATATAGGGGCAAGGTTGTATATCAGCTCATATTTCAGGTGAAGATGGGGGATGGAAAATCCATATATCTAGGCACGGTACATAATAAGGCCCCGGTGTGGCGGTGTATAAGTTGAAGAGAGGATTTAAAAAAAAAAAAAAAAAAAAAAAAAAAAGAGAAGCAAAGTGGAATGTGTAAACTATTACTACTAGGTGTTGTGAATCCATGGGAGGGAAGTAGTAAGGTGAATGTTGGTATGGATAAGGTGTTGGTGGTTTGTTGGGTGTTTTAGTGATAAGCCACCAATACCATTGGAAATTGGTCCTTGTTTTTGTTGGAAGACCACTTCCATATTCACCATACCTACCATGGCTGCTGCCTGCATAATGAATGTTTTTTAATGGACTGACTACCACCCAAATGGTTTTTAAAATTTGGGGGTGTCCTCCTCAGTCCTGTTAAACCTTTTATAATTGTTAAAGTCAGATGTTTCATTTTATCTTACCCCACCTTGTGTTTTCTGTGTTGCTGAGTTGTTAAATAATGCACTCAAACATCCTCAAATTTTTTCTTTTTGCTGCATGTGGGATGTGTTCTCTACTTCCTACTTTAATGCAATATGTTTCTTACTTTACAAATTAGGAGGAATGAGGGTTAAGTAGACCACATAAAAATGTAATTGAGTTTTAACCCTTTAAACACTTGAAGATCACATTTTTTTTTTTTCGATTTTTCTTTCTTTGTTTGTTCTCCTTATTAGAAAGAGGTAATATATGTCATGCTTTGACAATTGAAGAGCAACATTGACAATACTAATAATTCGTATGTGACATTGATAATTGACATATCATAGGCATAAATTATAATTTTCTCTTTTAATTATATTTAAGTTTCATTTGATAATATTATTACTTTATTTTTTAGTTTCATTTTTCACATATTAATTTCATTATAATAATATTAAAATATCATTTTAATTCTATTATAATTTGATGTTGCTTTTCTAAAGAGCCGCATACGATTTTGCAAACTTAAATACTTGAAGAGTATTGCAGAAACCACATGTAGCAACCCCATTAGAGGAGTTGTGAAAAAACAGAATTTGCATTACAAACTTAAAGTAGAGTTTTAAATAGGGGCAGATTCAACCTTTCCCCTCATGTTCAATCATCTATATGGAACACATACACTTCATTTTCATAAGTTGTATATAGTGAACAAAGTCACGAGGGGAAGGAGCTCTCCTCTCTCACAAGGTAGAAACTAACCCATCGCATACTTCTGGGTCCAGCTCCGGGCAGTAGTCTCATACTTGCTTCGGTCCGTCTTGTACATGTGAGCGATCTCTGGCACCAGAGGATCATCGGGGTTGGGGTCTGTTAACAGAGAGCAGATAGACAGTAGCACCTGAAAGGGAAAGAAGATGCAAATAAGCATAACTGAATCCATCTTTAAACCTGTGTTTGGCATTATAACACATCCCACTTCATATTTTGACCTGCTTAGCCTATTAATTTCATCCTGATTTTTTTTTTCCTTCAATATATCAATTTTCATAGAAAGTAATATTAGTAGGATAATCAAAAACCTTGGAGATTGTAAGTGCTGGACTCCACTGTTCCTTCAAAATGTCAAGACAAATGCTCCCATTGCTGTTGATATTTGGGTGAAAAACCTTTGTCCTAAAAGCAACCTGCAATATTCACCAAATATCACAGATGGCATAAAGCAAAATAAGGCCAGCAAGAAATTAGAAATCTATTCAAAAGCAGCATTTAAAAAAAAAATAAACAAGAAAAATGTTGCAAAACAATAATTAAGTACCAGATGCGTAAAAAGGAAAGATGGAGGGTAAGATGGAGGTTGATGGGCGCCTAGGCACCTAAGTACTAAAAAAAAAAAAAAAGCAAGCCCAATTGCCAAAGTAAAAGCCAAACTGCCAAATAGGCCCAATTGCCATTTATAGCCACAGGTTTTTAACTTATAACATAACATATTAATATTCCAAAATAAAAGCCAAACTGCCAATCAGTGAACTGTGGTGGCAATAGCGAGAGGTGATGTGCGAACGGCGATAGATGAGCAGCGACTGGCTGTTGATGGCATTGCCAGCGTCCCGATCGGCTGGTCAGAGGAAGTTGTGAAGGGCAAATGGCTAGTAGGTTTGATTGTCCAATTTGGTTTTGTGATTTTCGATTTGCTACTATGCAGCCATGTCCAAATGATTTTAGGGTTGTTTTGCTCAAAACTACATCATTTTGAGCGAAACAACCCTTTTTTTTTAAAAAAGGCCCAAGTCCGCCGACCTGGCCGACTAAAATGGCAATTATCGCATATTTTGTTTTGGCATAGGGGCACCTAGGCCAAGTTTTTACAACAATGATCATAGGTGTTGTGCTTCTAGGTATGTGCCTTGACAATAATGGGAAGCATTCTGTTTTCCTTTTATGCAGATTGCAATTGAGTATGACCTAAGCATCCATTCTCTGAGCAGTGAGCACATTTCCTAGCTTCAAGATGTTCACAAGAACTATTTATACTGGTAATAGCCTAAAGGTAATAATCAATCTTCAGAACTGTCCCGTAATCGTTGAACTCATACCTTCTCAATTGACTGCAACCACTTAGAGGCATCACTCAGTAAAAGTTTAGTATACTACACAGAGTACTTACAGTTACCTGGTTCAATCACCAATTGAGAGAAATGAATGAAATAGAAAGATCTAACAATCTCTAACTGCTCATGGTAAAGCAGTTGTATAATCTTTTGAGTAATTAACATCCAGAATCCAATCCAAGCATGTCCAAGCTAACCAATGCCAAGGAAATGAGAATCTACTTTTATATGGAAAAAGGTTTATCTTAACATTGGCATCCAAATTGGAAAGGAAAGATGTAAACTCTAAAGTGGTTATAATGTATGCATTTTTGGGCATCACAAATGTAGTCATGTAGAAATATCAAAACATTAGGAAACAAACTTATGCACATGTATCAGTGATCACCTCATGTAATAACCATGACTGCATTAAAGCTATTGATGATGGGTTACCTTAGGTGGCTTGAATGGATAATCAGGTGGGAAATGAATGGTAACAAGAAATACTCCGCCTGCATAAGGACTGTCAGGTGGACCCATTATTGTTGCTTGCCAGTGAAACATATCTTCAGCAACTGGGCCTAATGTTTTACATCAGGAGCAAAAAATGAAGTATATTGTTTTGGAATGAAGATGAGAAGATCATAAAAAGTTTCAAGCAAATGCATCTAAAAAATATAAGTGGCAGATCTGTGCTCCTAGGATGATATGTCAACACTTTATGAGGGTAGCGGGTGTTCTCTTCAAGTGTCAAGTGAGATTTCCTCGGGGTTGTTATGTTCACAAGTTTGCATATGTTTTTAGTGCAATTGATAGTTGGTGCTACGTGAAAATTGATCTCATTGTGTACATTAACATATAATATCACTGGAAGTCTCTGATTATTAATAACATGCAAAGCACAAATTCAGAACTTTTTACACCACTCTGGCCCACCATGGTCTTTGGTAGTGGTACTCTTGTAAGAAGTCAACTGTGCATCCATTACATCAAGTTTAAAAACAGAAAGTGAAAGCCAGAATCTTGAGAATATACTTAAGCAAAAATATAAGTAGCATAATTCATTAACAAGCAATATCATCCATTTCCCTTTCTCTTTGTTTTTTTCACACTTCTGTAGGCCCTTTAATTTCAGAAGCATTAGGATTCATACATACAGGTGTAAACTAGAAAGTAAACAAACGGGTCAATGATATAACCTAGAATGAAGAAAACTTATGAATGCCAAATCCAATCACTAGAGAAGACCTAGGAATGGAACTTTTCTATAGACCAATTGCATCAACTGAAAATCAGTTTGGTGATAGATCAAAGATTCATAGCAATTGCAATTAGACTTCTCCTTTGACCAGTTTTCAGAAGCATTTATCATCCAACTTTCTATTATTTCTTTTACAAATCAGATCATGGTCCAAGGAGAGACAACCGCAAAGAACAAAAAGGTCACACCAAGGCTCCAGCCAGTAGGATCTGGATGCAATCTCAGGTTAATGCGTTAGAACTTCAAGCTTCACTACACCAAGCCCAACTTGCAAGTACAGAGAACTATTACCTTTTAGTAAACAGACAGTACCAAGGCTAAATTACACCTCAGAATGAAAGCTCTGGTTTTATAAACTCACCATTTGCCAAGAAACTTAGATAAAAACTGAATCGTTACACCAGCCAAACCAAAACAACAGTTCAGATAGTGGCATCAAAATATATTGCAGTAAAATTACGCAAACGAAGTTGAGAACTCAAAAAAAGAAAAAAAATATTAAATTTGTCACAACGAGACAATCAATTAATTGGGATCACACATACCAGCACTGCAAGAGGTAGGAGGATCTTTCTGGAGATCCTTGAGCTCTTTCAGAATTCGCTTCGAGGCCATGTCGAACCAAAACCCTAGTTTCCCAGAAAAACTAGATCAACTCCACGACCAACAAATATGCACACACATATATACAGAGACAGAGAGATGATAGGTGGTTTTTCTCGGGGCGGTGAGGGTTCGGGTCTTACCTGAGAGATCCTCCTACTGCGAAAGGAGAGATTCTGAGCACCGAGACTGCGGGGAGGTCTACAGTTCAGACAAATGAATGTATATAGCCAACAAAAAGGAACATTTTTATTCTACTTTACTCTAAATTACCAAAATAGTCACTTGACTATGTTGATTTCACAAATTTTCACCATTTTGATTTGGTTAATTACAATATTCGACTCTCAACTGTTTTATCCATTTTAGTCCTCCAGCAATTTAAGGCAATTCTGATAAGTATAAGGATAATACAGTAATTTTATTACATTTTGCGTTTGTTCTTTCAAAATACCGAACTCATTTGTTAAAATGTCTAAATATTTAGTCAAAATAAACACTTGCAATTATGAAAGCCTTTATTTACTAACAACCCTAACCATGAATTCCAGTCCAAATATTTAGTCAAAATAAACACTTGCAACTATTTTTTTTTTTTTGGTGAATTTGAGGCCCTCTCAAGAGAGCATTACCTAACCCTTAGGAAAGGGGTATTACAAGCATCCGCTAGAAGCAGATTAATCATATCAACCGGGGCGTCTTCAAAGAATCTTGTCCCCCAATCCGCCTCTTGACCCCAATTGGCCAGCCAGTCCGCGCATTTATTTCCTTCTCTATCAATATGAGAGATACGAGTAACCGTGATCCTTTCCATGAGGTCCAGGCAATCTTTAATGAGAGTATCTAACGTGTCTTTACGAATAGAGCCGCTGGTCAGAATGGACACCACCGCAGCTGAGCCTATTTCCACCCACACCCTATCCAAGCCTTCTTCCAGACAAAGCCGTAGACCCTCCCTTAGGCCCCACAGCTCCGCCGAAAAGCTATCAGTAAGCCCGATTTTTGTCACAAACCCCTTGATCCAAGTCCCCTGAGAGTTACGAATGAGACCCCCGGCGCTAGCCATACCCGTGTTAGATTTCATAGCCCCATCCGTGTTTAGTTTCATCCATCCATGTTGTGGATTTACCCATCTCACCCATTTCTGTTGGCCATGCAAAGAGCCTTTGTGTTTGTCTATGTAGCATCGTGCCTCCATCGCCATGGTGCCGGCTGACTTAATAATGGAAGCAGTCGTGGTTCTGTTATTGTTGAAGGTGAGGTTGTTTCTTGCCTTCCAGATATGCCAAAGCATGTAGCAGAAGGTCGAATTCCAGGCAGTGCCATCATGCATGACGCTTTTGCTTTGGCAGTTCCTCTTGATCCAGACGTTAAAGGGCGAGAAGCTTACAAGATCCACTCCTCCACCGACTTTGGCCATCCCCCAGCATTGCACCGCAAGTGGACAGTCCCGGAACAAGTGTGAGAGCGACTCTTCATCATACCCGCAAGTTACGCACGATCCATCTTGAGTCAGATTGCGTTTCACCCTTTCAGTGTTTGTTAAGAGTTTCCCTTTGAACAGGAGCCATAGGAAAGTTTTAATTTTCTCGACCACGTTCAGTTTCCACACCCACTTCCAGTTCTCCTCATCACTTGGAGTACCTGCAATGAGAGAGTAGGTAGATTTAACAGAAAACATACCTGAATTGTGGGTTGGCCAAACCAGCTTGTCGGAGGTGTTCCCATCCACCGGCAGAGGTATAGTTCTGATTTTGTCAATAATCCGGTCGGGAAGAAAGTCCCTCATAGCCACCGTGTTCCAGTTGCGATCCACCGTAATGAAGTCGCACAGCCTTGCGTTCGAGCACCAAACTGGAATGTCGACATCATGCTCCAGTCCTAGCGGTTTGTCATTGATCCACCAATCGGACCAGAAGTGCAGGGATTCGCCATTCCTCACTCTCCACCTAGCCCCCGTTTCAATGATCGCTCTTCCTTTGAGGATGCTTTTCCAGCCCCATGAGGCATTCGGGGAAGCTGATGCCGTGAAGAAGTCACCAGTGGGGATATATTTTTTCCTTAAAGCACTAACCCAGAGCTTCTCTGGATTGTTAATAATTTGCCAAGCTAGTTTGGCTAAGAGGGCTGCGTTAAAGTCTTTTGCTTTGCGAAGACCCAGGCCCCCGTAGACTCGGGGCGTACACACTTCATCCCAGTTGATGGGGTGAATTTTTCTCATAGCTTCAGTGTAGCCCCAAAGGAAATCCCTGCACATTTTATCAATATCGTTACAAGTACCTGTGGGTAGCGCAGTGGTTTGCATGGTGTAGACGGGGATCGTAGCCAGAGCTGATTGAACAAGGATTCTCCTTCCTGCCAGGCTTAAGAAACCTGCTTTCCAGTTAGCCAGTTTCCTCCGCATGATGTCTAAGATATAGGAAAAATGACTCTTTGTGACTCTCTTTTGGAGAATGGGGATCCCCAAGTATTTCCCCAAGTTCTCGGTGATGGGAATATTGGCCGTGGAACCCACCAGACGCTTTAACCTGTTAGGGGTGTTCGGGGAGCAATATATGAGGGATTTAGCAAGATTAATGTGTAAACCTGATTTACGGGAGAACTTATCCAAGCAGCCCATAATGACCTTCAAAATACCGAACTCATTTTGACCATATTATTACAAATGAGTTCAGTGGCGTATTTGACCTTTATTCCATTTGTTAAAGCAAATTTTATTACATTTTGCGTTTGTTCTTTCAAAATACCGAACTCATTTGTGGTTAGGGTTGTTAGTAAATAAAAGCTTTCATAGTTGCAAGTGTTTATTTGGACTGGAATTCATGGTTACGAATTTTCCTATTTCTTTATTGGTGTATGAAATAGGCTTTCTTTATTTGTTTCATGTGTGTTGTAATTGGTGTATGAAATAGGAACTGTTTTACCTGTGCAACGAATTTTCCGCGCAACCTACAGAAACACAAAGAACCAATAACGATTTTCTGCGCAACCTACAGAAACACAAAGAACCAATAATGCCTCCACTGAGGCTCAAACTCACAACCTTCCAAATAGAAGTCCAACCCGGGTACCATTAGACCACATAGTCTTGGTATATGGATTCTAACTTTGTTGAACATTATTCTAATAAATATTTTGTACTATTGATTTGAAATAGACTTTCTACTATGATTGTTGGTTAGCATAAGTAAATTAATTTTCCATGTTATTGTAATATAACTAGGTTCTTATTCTTTCATATTAAAACTAAGGCATGGAGGTTGGATAGAACAAAGCTTGTCCCCAAAATATGTAGCAGATAAAATATATGTATTTCAAAATATAGAGGTAGATGAATGAGGATTCATTACCTTGCAAGAAAAGTACCAAGAATTTAAATATAATAAGGATGATCCCATTAGGTTTTTTACAATGACTAACATATGTTTAGTGGAGTTAGTAGATGATTTTGAGACTTTTTGCTTGGTAAATTATGTGGATAGACCTACCGAAGTAGAGGTTTGGATAATTAGGAGAGCTATTGCCTATTGGTGATGATGAAGTAGAGTTACATGGTAGTGAAGAGGATTGTGACATGAATAATGGAGCGTATGATGAGGGTATTAATGATGATAGTGATTTAGAAACGCATCGTGGTAGAGTAGATGATTGTGAAAGAATAAAATAGATTTATTGTATTCAGTGTAAAGAACGTAACTGTATAGATATATACTATTTATATATGAATTAACTATTAACCTAATGAGCTCATTCTTAAAATGACCTAGAGTTTCAACACTCCCCACAAGTTGGAGAGCATAAATCATATGCTCTAAGCTTCTTACAAATATACCCAACTCTAGGAGCTCTATGGGACTTTGTCAGGATATCAACTAACTGATCTGCAAAACTGACAAAGCTAGTTTTAATTAATACAGCCTGACAAGATCTTCTCTTTGATGAAGTAGCAATCAACCTCGATGTGTTTGGACCTCTCATGATAAATTGGATTTGAGGCGATGTGTAGAGCTGCTTGGTTTCACATATCAGTGTCATTTGAGCAACATTGTCACATTGCAACTCTTGAAGTAGGTGCTTCAACCACATTAGCTCACATGTGGTAATGACGATAGCCTGATATTCATCTTCAGCACTAGACCTGGAACCACATCATGCATTTTACTTTTTCAAGATATAAGATTACCACCAATGAGTACATAATAACCTGAAGTAAAGTGTCTTTGAAACGGATAACCAGCCCGATCTGCATCAAAATGCCAACAACTTGAGCATGTCATTTATCTTCATATAATAAACCTCGCTCTGGTGTTTCTTGATATACCTTAGAACCCGAACAGCAACATCCCAATGAGTATCACAAGGGTTAACAAGAAATTGACTCAATACATTAACTGCAAACAAGATATCCGGTCGTGTGATTGTCAGATAATTTAATTTTTCAATTAATCTCCTGTATCATTCTTAGTCAAGCAATTGGCTCCCCTTGTCCTGGTAAAAATTTAACATTTGGATCGATTGGATTATCCACATGTCTACAATCCAATATACCAGTTTCTTCTAAAACATTCAAGACATACTTTATTTGAGAAATGACTATACCACTGCTAGACTGAGCCACTTCAATTATGAGAAAATACTTTAGCTTACCCAAATCCTTAGTTTGTAGATGCTCTTCTCAAATTCTTTTCAAAATTATGTTATTAGATTACAATATTAATTTCCAAATTTTTAACTAATGCATAAACTTGTAGATAAGCACTTGAAACAATTAGTCTTGTATCTCTATCTATATACAAGTCATTCTTATATTTATCTCTTATTTTAATAATTCTTTCAAATTCGTTATATATGCCCAAAAACGTAGGTTTAGCATACTAAAGTTATTGAAGTGAGGTCCCAACTTTGCTCCCTCAAACTTTTAATTTTGAATCTTGATTAAAAATACTATATTTGAGATATTTTAATATCTTTGAAATTTAATTTTATTCATTTAGAAGTATCATATTGCACTATTTATGTGTTTAGAGATAACAAAATATGCCGTATTGGCGTATTATGTTTCCATCAATTGGATGGAATTAGATTATATGGAAAAATAAATAACATTAAAAGCCTAAATACTTTGTTACAATCTTTTTTATATCGGTGTAATATGTTTACAATCAATTAATTTGCAGTTCAGCGTTTGTAGTCCAACGGTTAGGATAATTGCCTTCCAAGCAATAGACCCGG